TTCTTCCTCTACCTGACCAGAACATTAAATGTCCTAGAGCTTGATCCTCTGCTGTCTTATCTACAATCTCTGCTGTCTTTTCTATATTCTTTCCATGTGATCACCTTTAAACACCATATATACACAAGTAACTCTCAAAATTACTACCTCTGCCTCTCCCATCTCCCTACTGAACTGTATAGCCAACTTCTTATGCAACATCTTACCTGAATCTCTAAAAAGCAACTCAAATTTCACATAACTAAAAGAGAACTCTTCATTCCACTTATCTTCTTCAACTCTTGATTCCACTCTTCCCCAACTCAGGAAATGACACCACCATCCATTATTGTTACTGAAGCCAAAATTAAGATACCACCTTTCCTTCATCTGCCACCTCCAAATTATCAGTAAATCCTGCCAGCTTTATTTCTCAAGTATATTCCAAACCCAAGCCATCATCTCTCACCTAATTATTGCAATGACCTATTAACTGGCTTCTCTATTGCTATTCTTTCTCCCTCCCCTCCACAATTTCTTCCCCCACAGAAAGGACAGAAGAGACCTGTAAACACCAAGGATAAGAAATGTCTACTTTGTTTCCCCAATACATAGGAAAGTATCTGTCCCATAGGAGGCACTCAATATGCTGAGTAGAAGAACAGTCATCTCTCCTACCCTTTCATAGACCGCTTCCCCCATGAAAAATAAAATCCAAATTTCTTACAATGCCTTCCATCAGGACTCCCTCACCTCACATCTCTGCTGGCTATACTCCAGACTCTCTGGCTTTTGCTATTCCTCAAACTCCCCAAACTCACTTTCACCAAGGAGCTGTTTCTGTACTCACCCAAACACTCCTCCCCTCATGTCTGGTTCCTTCTCATCATTCAGGTCTCAGTAGTGTTACCTCCTCAGAGAGGCCTTCCCTGACCAGCCTACTCAAAGTAGGCTTCTCTGCCCATTCTCTGCCATCTTGCCCAGTTTCCTTTTCTTCACAGGACTTAACACCAGCTGAATTATCTTTAGTTTACTTATAGACTGTTTATTCCCACTAGAATGTAAGCTCCCTTACAACTGGGACCTTATCTTTCTTGTTCAATAATGTATCCCTATAGCCCAGTACAATGCCTACCATTCGCAAATATTAACCAAGTACTTACGTGCCAAGCACTATGCTAAGTAACAATGGATTTTTTTTAATTAAAGAAAAATAGAAAGTGGAAGTAAAATATTACTATAATGAGCAACTTTAAGTCCTTTTTATGTTGATCATTCCCATTGTTAAAATGAAACACTTTATACAATAATTCCCACTTTTTAGAATATCATTTTGCCAGTGTAAAATATGAATATTCTTAAAGTAGTAATAGTAGTACTCATTGTAGCTTTAAAAATTACCTAAATGATCATATTCATTTTTCAATGCACAATTTGAGGGAACGAATTAAGCTATCAGTCAATAAAAAACTATCTAGGAGATTTTGTAACTTCATCTTTTTCTCAGAGTACACATACAACACATTTTATCCAGTCAGAAAAATCATGACTCTGTAAAGCCTTTCTGTTCTCAACATACAGAAATATTCACAACATGACAAAAGAGGTTGTCAACTCACCATTTATTGCCTGGCCTCAAATTAATTTACCAGCTTCATTCCAACCAAGAAGCGATCGAATTTCAATTACTAATCAGGTTCATTTCACTAAAGTTGAAATTCGTCCCTCACCCACAAATGCCTATTATAAAAGAACATGTCTAATTGAGTTTAGGCAAAAGAGTTGTGTTTCATTGTTACCATAGTACTTTTAGGTCCATCTAATTCAGAACCACAGCAGAAAACCTTAGTGTTTGATATAATCATACCAGTTACCACCACCATCATTATGACATCACTAAACACCTTATGGCAATGCATCAACTAGAAAGAGGTAGATTTAAAGCTTGAGGCACTGAACAAATGACGTTTCTTCAGATCATGTAAGTGTTTTCCGTAACATTTTATTTTTAGCACATTTTAAAACTGTCACATCCTATCTCTGAATGTTTTAAGGGTTGAATATATTAATATTTTTAAATTATAATTTATAAAAAGAAACAAATTCAATGTAACTAGGTATAAGTACTTGAAATATAACTATATCATACTAGACTTTTAAAGCCTAAAGGAAATACATTCATCCTTCATCTAACTTTGAAACTATTACACATTTTGAATAATAGGGTATTCTCAAACACACTCAACCAAACGCATAAAAGACATATCACATGTTCTATTTAAAATGAGCTTTCTAACCATACTTGCCAATAGAAAAAAAGGGGGGGGAGGAGTATCTGATTATATGGAAGTATAAGAAAATATCCATCTTATTTTCACTTAAAACACAGTTACTCTATAAAGCTGAAAATTGTTGGTAAAACCATAACAAAATTAAATTCTAAAGCAAAGTTTAAAAGTTCAGTATGTTCCAAACAACACATTATTCATATTTGTTTTTACTGCCATTACCTTAAAAAGAAAGTTTCGTCCAATTTTTTACAACACTGGTTCTATATTTGGGTTTTCCTTTTAGTCTAGTTACATTATTTGCATAAACAAACCAATTTAGGACACCTAGAATTAACCCACATATTGAAATAAACTCATTTAAATCCCAGAAATTATTTACTTATCCCTGTGGACCAAAATGACTGCTGATAAATTCAATTCTGATTGAACAATTCTGGTTCCCTTTGTTCTCAGAAAAGCTCTAAAATCACTTGTTACTTATAGATATATTGGACAATATTTCAAAAATATAAATTTTCTTCAGATTTTCATAAAGAAAAAAAAAATCCCTAAATGAATTAACTCAGAGGTCAATATACTGACGCTTATCATCTGCTCATTTGCTATAAAAAAAACCCACACACGTAAGATTTTTCATTTAATGTAAAAGTTTTTTAAACTAAAAAATAATTTTAAATATTTGTTTGCTCAAGAAGAATAAAGAAATATAACAATTACATCACTATTAATGTAAACAATTATCAGCATTGACCTGAAAATCTTTTTATTGAAAAGGCATGTCCTAACTTACCAATAGTTTATTGTCAAAGCTGAGATAAAATACATCCTTTGTAAAGATATACTGTCCAAATTCCTTAAACTCAGGTAGTATTTATAAAGCATCTTCTTCCACTATATTCTTTGCCACAGCAAAGGTTTAGAGACTGCAATATATCTTCAAGGTCTTCCCTTCAGTTACTTAACTTCTAAGCATTGTTTTCTTTCTCATAGAAAACGATGGGAAAACTGATACAATGCGTTGGTGATATTATACCTCCAAACATTATTATTACAAGTAAATTTTAAAAGGTTAGGTTACAAAGACATTACAGATGACTTTTGACATGTACAGATAATGGAAACCACTCCCTCTAGCCCCTTAGAAATAAAGAGATGTCTTCTCACTCACTGAAGTTACTCTGCAGGATTTGTAAATACTCAGAAAGCATCAGGAATCTCTCAACTGCTGTCTCCTCTTCTTAGGACAAATACTGTATATTTTAGAAAAAGTAATTCCCTACTTATATTCTTACCAAACTCCTGCCTACGTTAAATTCTATTATTTTTAAAAGTGTTGCATGACCAAATTTAACAGAACGATGTGAAATCTAACCCTGGATTTTAAAAACGTGTATGTCTAGAGCTAATGTACTTAACCATACTGTATTGTATGCTTGAAATTTGCTAAGGGGGTGGATCTTAAGTGTTTCACCACACACCAGAAAGAAAAAAAGTTAACTATGTGAAGCGATGAATATGTTAATTAGTTTGTGGAGATCATTTCACAATGTATACAAATGAAAACATCAAGTTATACACCTTGAATATATATATACATATACACACAATTTCTATTTGTCAAAGAATTGTATTGACATTTTAATTAGTAGTGTGTTTGTTTCTGATATTTTTTAAATAGCAGAAAATACTACCAGCAAAATATCACTTCTAAAAGCTGCTTCTGCTTTGTTTTGCAAATAGCTATGGAAATGTTTACGAAAATGTCAGTTACAAAAGTAGAGCTCTAACGTTTTGTGGAACAAGGTTATTTAATAGGACCCTACGACCACGTAAAATTTCATGTACATATGGCGTTTTTTTCTGAATAAAAGATCCATATAACTTTCAGCTTCTCAAAAGAGTTCAAAATTCAACTAAGATTAAAGTAACTGGAGGAACTGTCAACGTTAGATAACTTGTCACAGACAACCCAAGCCTTATTTTTTATGCCAAATTAGGGTTAGATTTATCTTAATTTGGAGGCTCCTACACAACTTCTGAGCGATGTAGGCATGAAATGGCTGTCCGACACGAACAGCTTCCTTTGCACACCCAAGGCGGCAAACCCTAAATTTTCCTTGACGGGGAAAATGAGAGGCAAATGGATTAACACCCTCATTGCTCAAATACCGGTTGGCTCTTGCACGACGTGTCATCCTCTTACTCCAGAGAGTGCTGCGAGGAGGCGACCAGGTCCCCTCGGGAGTCACTTGCAGCGACGGCATCAGTAGCAGCCTCCTCCCGCCCCCAAACGCGCCCTAAAGTAGCGGCTGCAGGCAAAGGCACAGCAGATGCCCGCGCCGCCGCTGCAGCAGCAGCGCGGTCGCAGCGACCTTCCCAAGCCCGTGTGCCCGTGAGCCCCGTTATCCACGTTCGCCACACAACCTCTGCGGAAAAGGGAGGAGGATGGATAACAAAGCCTAACCCGAGGAGGCCCAAGAGAGCTTTAAATTGGGCGCAGGGGCGCGAAGCGGGGCGGACAGGGCCGGGAACGAGGCCCACCAGATGTCACCCGCGGGGCCGGGCTGTCGGCAGCCGGGAGGAAACGCTGCGGGCAGGCTGTCGCGCCGCGGCGTCGGGGAGGCGGCCTGGGTGAACCGGGCCTGAGGAGGAGCGGAGCGGCGGCGGGGTCTTGAAGCGCCACGGTCGGCCGCGACCCCCATCCCAGCTGGAGACTGTCCAGTTACTTACCCGCTAGGAAGCTGCGGGCTCCGCCTGGGCAGTCCCGGCTGCCGGCCTCCGGGGCCAGGAAGCGCCCCCACATCGCGGGCGGGAGGGCCGAGTGGGCCGGGGGCTCCCGACTTCCCACGTCCGTCCTCCTCCGCCTTCGCCTCCTGCTTCTTCGGCGGCAGAAACTTGTGTGGAGCCTGGGCCGCGGCAGCACCGGCGGGAGGGCGGGTTGGTTAACGGCGGCTCAGCGACGGGCGGAGAGCGCAGGGGCCAGATTCGCCGCGACGCCGGCGACGGCGGCTGCCATGGCCGAGCCGGCTAAGCTGAGGCCCGGAACGGGAAGGCGGCGGCTCCGCGGTGACGGCTCGGTTCCCGGCTGAGCCCGGGATCCGTCGCTCTGGGCGAAGTTGCAGCTGCGGCTTCTCTGCCCCTCCGCCCGCGGAGCGGGAGCCAGAGCCCGAGCCGGAGCTGGGCGGAGGCGGAGCCTGCTGGGGGCGGGGCCTCGGGCGCTTACATAAGGCGTGCGCTGCGCGGGGCGGGGACTGCGGGTGGGTCGCGGTGGGGCTCCCTACTG